ATTTTATGCTGTAGCACTTTTCTTGGCGTGTACAGTACAGTACTGTACTGTATACAGCACCTGGAAAGACTCTTCTTTGCCGCCATGCGCAGGCACGACGACGGACTCGTCCTCCTTGAACGCCGCCGAGGACGCCGTCGTCCCACCGCCGCCCATCTGCAACTCCCTGATGAAGATGATGTACTTGAGGATCTGGCTGTTGCCGTTGCTCGCGGGCGCCGCCCAGGACAAGTTGGCCGACCTCGACGACGACTCCANAGGAATGAAAACCGAGGGAATTTTCGGAGAACAAAACGGAGCAGAAAGAGAAGAAATAACGCTTCGTTTTTCGTTTGCTGGGCAATTGAAGAAAAAAAGTTTTTTTTCTTCTGCTGATGCTTCGTGTCGACACGTGGGAAGAGGGAAAACCCCGCGCTGGCAATGGGATGAGAAAGTTACCAGGTTGTCTTAAAGTGTTGCTAAATAATTCCTGGGTTTTAAGAGATGCGATGCGAAGAATGGTGAGAAACTAGAATGCTACAGAAAAGATATTCAAAAAACATACAAAATAGGAGGGGGTTTCAAAAAAATTTAATTCGGACGATCGTTTCCAAATCCTGGTGCTAAAATTCCCACCCGAAATCTAAAAAAAAAGAAAAATAAAATTCATTTGACATCAATAAATATGTTCCGTTTCTCGATAATCTCGATACATGAGGGTCTGTTCTTGAAAAGTGTTCGAGAGTTGTTGGTCTGGAAAGTTTTACAGAACCCCTGTATTTATTTTCCAGTATCGGCCCGTAGCTTCTGGTGCGAAGTTCCGTTCCAGCAGTTGGACTTTTCAAACATAGTTTCGATGGAACAGAAAAAGAAGGAAACGCTGCTGCTGCTGGTAAATGGAACTCGTTCCACTCTCCCCATCGTTCTAGAACCTCTGGAAAGAGGAGAAATAAGAAAGCAAGTCGAGAGAATCCTTTTCAATGCATCCGTCAGACCCGTTTCCATTCATTTCTCACTCACTCGAAAGCTATTGGAGTGCAAATGTAAAACATTGTGGGGGATGGCGACCAGTCCTAAAGTTTCTTCTGGGCCGTTGACTTGGAGAAATGATGACACTTTTGAATGCTACGGTGAATATGAATTTCCCCCAGCCCTCTTCATATATATGACATTCCAGAGCGGATGCAGATGAAAAGTCATAAACGCTGAAATAACTCTTTCTTGCAAATGAGCGATTCGAGGAAGACAAAAAAATGTAATGAATCTTTTCATCCCTAAGGACTCCGAACTGATGTGACTATAAGTCCGTAAAACTCAGACGAGAGAAATGACTGCATTGGAGCGTCATCTACTCGCGCGGAAATTGACTGGTGGATCATGGACAAAGCAGCAAAAATCCATTTGGACTGAACCAAGAAAAAATTTTCAAAAAGCAAAATCTTGTGAATCATGATGGAATTTTCTTGATACTTAATTTAAAAATGCAAACCACTGAATTTGATTCAATGCTTTGTAGTCATATCAATATCAACTGTAGTCATTTGAATTTAGGTGGTACCCCGCAATTTGACCCCATCACATTGTCAGACTAGAGTCAAAATTCAAATTGCTTGAATTGCAAGACACTGCAAAAAATTGAGAAGCAGTTGCAAAAAATACCGGAAAAGTGACTGAAGGAGGACAAATTACAAGGCAGAGGTCAACTTGCTAGTCAACCTCCCAGCAACTTTGATCATTGAATTGTGGAACTGTCAAATTGTCCAGGACTGTTAAATTGCAAAGTGTACCACCTGTATTTCAACTCTCAAAAACAGATGAATTTGAGTGACATGTGAATTTCAATGATGTGTTTGTGGTTTGCCATCAGGCAGAATTTTTTCATGATTTTGGGTGAAATTTAAGAATGACTGGAGATTTATACATTTCCAGAAAACAATTTCAATGAAAAGGAGAAGTATAATTATTTCACTGGGAATCAAATTCATGTACAAGTTTATCCTTATGTAATACATATACACTATTGTAATCAGCTCCCGAGAAAAGTTGCTTGGTCGAACAAATTGCTAACCAGAGATTTTTGGGTTGACTTTTGGGTTGACCAATCCAAGACTGCAAGTTCCAAAATTGTCAACCCAATCCTAGAACATCACACAACTAATTCCTTCTTAGATTCTGTTCAAATGTACATTTCAATCATGTCAATGCACCTGCTGTACAACCAGACAAATTGGGTAATATGTCAAAATCCAATAAAATGGATTTAATTCCACATTTTTGAAATGAGATAGCTTTTACCCATGGGATGAAAATGACAGCTTGTAAACATTTCTGATTTTCTTTCAATCCTCCATGCAAGTTGTTAATCGTAAAGTATGGCTCACATTGAGACACTTGGCAGAAACATCATGGAGGCAAATGTATCCCACCCATTGCTAAATATTGATCATCCTGCAAGCACCAGATTATCTTCAAAAGGTTTCCTCTGACGATGCTTTCCATCTCACCTGATTCACTGGAATAAGGGCTATCTACAAACATCAATTTTCCTTCCGCCTTTCCTGAATAAAACCGGAAGAAGATTTTTCTTCCGCATTCTGGTTCATAATCACGGTTCATTGCAAAAAACCGCGATAACCGACTCAAGGGACGTAAGGAATGCATGTCTGCAAAGCGTCGTTCATCACATTTGGTAGAATGTAGCGCAGTTTTCTCTCTCTTTTTTTTTGCATGCAGAAACATTGCCAGCAGTAGTGGATAAATTGAGTGCGAATATTTGCTTGTCCTCATGCGATGAAATATTGCCAGCGATACGGAACAAACGGGATCGTCATCACGGGGGGTATAGTGTACGTATATACAGTTGACCCCCGTTAGACCGCCCCCCGATAAACCGCCACCCTCGGTTACCGCCAAAATTTCATCACTCACAAATCTTCCTAAGCTTGAAGGGATGGCAAAACCCCTTTAAACCGCCAACCTATAATCACCAATTTACAATTTTTCATATTATTTCTTTCTTTCCCTGGATAAAAATGTTTGTTTTCCAGAACTCGATTTCTTTTGGCTGTCGCTTTGAAATTTATTTTCAGAGGTTCAATTTTATATACAGTTGACCCCCGTTAGACCGCCCCCCGATAAACCGCCACCCTCGGTTACCGCCAAAATTTCATCACTCACAAATCTTCCTAAGCTTGAAGGGATGGCAAAACCCCTTTAAACCGCCAACCGCCATCCGCCAACATTTTTAGCCCCACAAACTGGATCGCCCTATTGTTTTTCTCCCTCTATAAACCGCCAGTTTTTTCCTCCTTCCCAGACTTTCTTTTTACCAATATTTTTCTCTTCCCAACCATCCTTTTCTCACCTTTTATTCATTGAAATACCAACATTTCCCTCTTTCCCAGCCTCCTCTTCAGTTTATTTTGTTAATAAACTTCTGGGGTTCTGTTTTATTGTCAGCCTCTTGAAATTTTGTGCAACTTTTCTGAGGAAATATAGATCAAACGAGTATCCCTCATGCAGAAATCTCCACTCCAAGCAAGAATGTATTCTTGGCTTCTTGGAGACATCTATCCCATACTCTGCACATCTTGAAATAGAAAAACTACCAAGAAATGTTTCTTCTGTGTTTCCAAGAATTTTAATGAAATTTTTTGGTTGTTTTAATTTAACTTAGATAAAATGAATTAGTGCATTTATTGACTACAATTCTCAGAAAACTTGACAAAAGAATTGCTTCAGGTATCTTCAGAATTTATTCAGGCATCTTTAAAATCAAACAATCAAGGAAAAATATTGATGGGGAATAAGAGAACATGAGTCAAAAACTTGCTGGAACTTTCTGTTGTAAAATTTGAGCACAAAATCTATTCCAAGATTGCAGGGTAAGAAAACCCAGGTCAAATTTTACTCAAGAATAAATCACATATTGATCAAGTTGGTGAATTATTACATTTTAAAGTACTGTATCAGAATACAACTGTAATTGTGGTTTAAATTTTAAAATTGAATGGCCTCACATTTATGGATTTTGCCATTGAGACATGGCTGATCAATTCTATGCTCCAGTTTCCACAAAAAACAATTCCTGTTAGCTTCTGTCCCATGCTATCTGCACCTCAATATTTTTACCTCTCTCATCTTTATTTTTTTGGGATATCTATAATATTTTTTGCAACTATTTTTTGCATAGAATGACATTGTGGAACATTTGGCAAAATACAGTATTGATAAACTTTTCAAACTAAATAATAAACAAAAGCTATCCTAAATGAGCCTGACCAACCCAAAATTAGCCCAGCCTAATCAAGGTTGAAGAATTTTCTCTTGAAGCATGATTATAGATTTAATTGGTTTGCTCAATTTTGATACATGTTTGTAATAAAGAAAAAATCTCCCCAAAAAGCAGAGAATGAAAAATGCTTCAGCTAGGGGAACAGAGGCAGCAGGGGTAGAACCTTTTTTTTTCTGCTTCATCCTTCCCTCTATAAACCGCCAACCCCGTTAAACCGCCAAAATTCTGCTGCACAGACGTTGGCGGTTTAACGGGGGTTGACTGTAATTTTAATTGAATGATGCTGAATTTTGGGATTTTCTTTAATTGGAAAATATTTTCGAAGATAACTCTAGGTCATTTTCTTGGAGACGTTGTGGTCCAACAAATTTCGAAGGAAATTATTTATATAGAAACAATTTATTTTGAAAGAAGCTGCCGACATGATTTTTCAACTGAATGATGTAGAAAAATTACTGGTTTTAAATTATATTCGCGTAAATATGCTCAACTCAACCCCCTTCTTCTTGTGTGTGTGTCTGTGTTTTTTTTTTTGCCTCATCTTCTGATCCCCTTTGAGACCATGAAATCCATCCCAGCACCAGTAATTCTTCCCAGACGGACCAAGTTTTCTTCCCTATCGCTCTTCCTTTTTATTCATTTTTTCCATCTACTTCTCTGTTGTTAATTTCTTGGTGATATCAGTGGAAGAAAAACAGTGATTTTGGCGTGTGAAAAGAAGTTTTGCATGTGTCTTACCCCCAAGAAGGAGAAGAAATGTGTGGATGTGTGTCTGTGGAAGAGTGTGGGGGTTTGGGTGGATTGTTTTGTGTTTGGTGTTCCATTATTGGGGCTGCTCAAGAGGAAGAGAAATTGGAATTTTATATATTGCAATATAGGATTTCTTTGAGTGGAGATTTTTGAAATAGGTCTATAGTATGTAATTTTTTGTAATTCTAGGCATGTTTCCTTTTTGACTATTGGGAGGGAAATCAGGTAATTGTTAGATTTTAGAGATGCCACAGTTTTAAATAAAAACATATGGGCTGTGATGATCCTCAGTATTTTTAACTATTTAATTTAACTGACTGTGAAAGATGATTGTGATGTTTTTCTAATCACAAAGGATTTTTTCAATTTTTTTGTTTTGAGGAATTAGAGTTCTTTCCAGATTTTTTCTATTTTCAGCACAAAAAATGTCTCTCTATGTAGAAGAGATGGCATATTTTTGGAAAATGTTGGAACACCAATTGAGATTGCCCATATTTTTCTTGATTTTGTCATTATTTTACAGGTAATCACTCTTCACAATACTATTCATACTTTGATAGTTTAATTAATCTCACCTTGCCTAAAAATTGAGTTGGATTTCTGTGATGATCTCAATTCTTCAATTTTTTACTTCTCCCTTATTAGGAAAATAAATGGCTTCTAAATGTGAAAGCTAAAGCTTCATTTTTGAAATTGGGAAATTGATAATGTAAAATTTTAGCGCAAGTTGTCATGAGAAACATAAAAAGCTACCTTTATGAAATTATGAAGCCTGGGAATGATTCTAGTTGTGAAATTCTTGCCCATGGAATTTGAAATTCAATCATTTTCAATTTTTATACAGGGAAACAATAAGCTCATTAATGATTTTTTAGATTGAAATGAACTTACCTTTTCAAAATTTATGATTAGCAATTTTACTTGATCTTCTTCAGCCATCAGTTTTTTTTACCATAAAATGAAGGGGGAAATTTCGACAGCTGCTGAATATACAACTTTTAATTTGAGCTTGTTTATTGGAAGTTTGGATCCCCTTTGGATTTTCTTAATTCTGTTTTGAATTAAACACCTTCACAGAAACAAGTTTCTTTTTGGCATTTGATTTGATTGATTGATTGATTGTTCTCCTCTTGGGCAGCCATCATCAGTGGGTCAACCAGCAACTCTTATTTATTTTAACAATGTGTTTTATGGTGATGAAAGTGTTGAAAATAATTGACTGTTTGTTGACATCATGCATGTGGGGGTGGGCGTTTCCTCCCGAATTCCTTTCTTCTTCTTTTCTCCTTTTTTTTTTCTTCTTCTCTGTCTCTTCCCGGTGTGTTTCATATAATCTCATTTGTCATATCGTTGTTGGTGTCGCGACGGCGGGACCCGCTCAACAACCACAACGAAATGTTGATTAACCAACATAAATAAAAATTGTAAAAAATACCTGAATCGAAACGGATGGAAAAACAAAACATGGAACGTGTACAGGTGACGAGGTGCTGGAGTGGAACGGGAGGTCGTTGCAGGGCAAGACTTTCGAAGAGGTGTCGGAGGTGGTGGCGGACTCGAAGCACGAGCCGGAAGTAGAGCTGGTAGTGTCGCGGTTCACGGGCGACACCGGCGGAGGCGGCGTTCTGCCGTCGTCGTCGTCGTCGTCATCAGTGGTGGCGGCGGCGGCGACATCTGGAGGAGGGCAAGCAGCAGTGGCCTACCAGCATCACCAGCAGGTGTCGCAGCCTCCGCCGGCAGGGGGAAGGCGGCAGCATCATCATCAGCAGCAGCAGCATCATCCAGGCGGGGCTCGCGTTGGCCCTGCTAGACTCCCGCCCACGCCCTCTGGCGGTGGTGCCAGACTGCCTGGTGAGACTGAGGAGAAGATTGAAAAAAAATGAAGGGGGATGAGACAACTCATCATTTTGTCTGTTTATGAAATTCTGTATATACAATATCTTTATATGATGCACAGGAAACTTTTATTACAATGATTAATGAAGCAATAATTGAGTGAGGACCAAGATGACGTTTTCACAACAGTCTTGCCATAATGGCATGAGAACACCCTTCCAACGCATTTTGCAATGTCCAAATTATTTGCTGGGAAGTCATCATCACCCAAGTGGGGAGCTATTCTTTGTGTGACCCCACAAATGGTGCACACTGGGGTCACAATTGGTGTACATGGGCTATTATCTGGGGTTACAAGCATGCACCTCTGTATATAGACAAAATTTTGCTACCGTTCTTGGGCTACATTTGGTGCACAAATTTGACATAACAGGAGCATCACACAAATGCACCAACCAGATGTAACCTTGGTGTAACTTATTTTTTTACAAGTGTGACCCTGAGTAATCCTGGTGTGAACACACAATTGGTGCACATCAGGGATATGCACGTGCAACAGAAGAACTTTGGTACACTTCAGGTGCACAGCAGGGTTGCTGTGTAGAATTACAAACATATCCCCGGTGTGCACCAATTTCCCCTCTTGGGTGATTCATAGTGGGGAAATTAACAATTTTATCACATAATGATAAATGATAAATACATTTGCATCAAGGTTTCAAGCAACATTGTGATTATTATAATCTTCATGTATGATGGCAATCAAATTCATACGTGGGACTATACTTTTTTGAGTTCATGAGGATTCAATTTTTTGAATGCATGGATTTTTAAAAGCAGAAAATTGGTGAGGCTGACTAACAAAGGTTCCCAGCAGAATGCAATATGAAATTTGTCAGAAGAGAAGCTTTTTTCAGTAATAAATATAATCTCTGCCTGGTTTTGCCATTGAAACTATTTGGAATTTTGTTTTGATTATAATGTTTCTCACAGATGTCACTGGAAATTAATTTTTTAAATAGTGAAAATGGCAAATGAATTAACTTTGTTTATATGGATCTTGAAGAAGTGTTTACATCATAAGATTTTCAAGGCATTGTGTCTGTACCTTATTGTTCTTCTGGAACCTTTAATACATTTTGTTGCAATGCATAATTATTCATGTTTGAAGGAATTTTTATCTGTAACTAGATTTGTTTTTTACAAAAATTGGCTACTATATTTGTGTATTGCAACAAACTCCAATAACGCTAGTGTATTTCTTTTGCAGAAAAATGTATAACTCCACTGTATTTGATTAATTGGAGTTTTTAAATTGTTTATGTGTACTGTGCATTTATTTTTACTTTTTCCAGACCCTCAACTGCTGCTTCAGGGTGACCAGCAGCAGCAGCAGCAGCATCAAAGCTGGGGCAAAGGCGGTCCTCGACTGGATGGACGTCCAAGCGTCACAGTGACGTCCCCGACGTCCCCAGACCCCGTCAGATCCTTCAACAACCCCGTCAACACGTATCCCAACAACGGACGTCTCCAGGTGCAATTTCCTTCTTCAAAAAGCGTGCTTTTATTTTTCGAGGAAAAAAGTTTAAAAATGAATAAAATGTGACTCATTGTCATATTATGTATCTCATCATTAATGTTTTTGTGCGTTGTAATTAATCTTTGTTGGGGGATTTGATCCTGATGTTTTTCTTGTGCTTGGTTTTAAAATTGAGGAATTAAGTGCGTGTATACAGTATATGAATTGACATATTCCAACATTTTTTGTTATATTTATGAATTATAGTTTGGATTGTGGATGTATAAATTTCAAAACTGATGCTGAACGTTTTTTTTTGTGATGGGAGTAATTTTTGTGGTTTTTGGTTTGGCCTGTAGTTAATGCTCGTGAATTATTTTTTTATGTGCGCCTTTTTCGGCTGGGTTTCAAAATTTGTATGAAAACTGTGTGCTTGATTGTGTAGAGTATTTTTGAATCATTGCTTTCAATTGATGTTAGCAATGCTTCAGGTTTTTTTTTACTGTGAATAATTGGTTTTATTTTTTATTTGCTAATCCGCGCGTGTTTTAAGATTTTTGATTTTATGATTGTCAATTGAATCACGCTTCTTTTTTTTGTTGCAGGTCCGTTTGTGGTTTGCTGCCCAGTCTCTGCAGCTTGTTGTATCAATCGTCGGTGCCAATGATTTGCCTCCGAAGAAAAGTGGTCACCTGAGAAACCCTTATGCGAAACTGGTTCTTTTGCCTGACAGAAGGTAATTTATCCATTTGTTGGTCATTATTAAAGCGTTGTTTTCATTTATGCCGTGAATGGTTTAAAAGTTTTCTATAAAGGCTTGGAATTTAGTTCTTCAAGTATAGACTTGAAAATCGTGGGCTTGATCAATATGTAGAAGCGAAAACCGTTTTATTGTGTTTGGGGGAAATTATCTTGAAGTTAAACGTTTATGTTACTTTTGAAAATTTATATAAAACGCCAATTTTCATGTGTTTCGGACACTTTGTTTTTTTAAGCATTGGTGAAATTAAATGTTGACCAGATTAAAATATTTTCATTCTTTTGAAGTTTGTGTTTGAATCAGGGAATATTTACTATACTTTAAAAATTTGATGAAATTAACTTTCTAAATAAGTATCAATATATAGTGATTTTCTCTAAGTATTACTTGTGTGAATTTTACGTCAATTTTTTATATTTGTTGTGAGTGCTGAGGAATTATTATTAAAAAAGTGCACAGAAAATTGGAAGATATTCTTGGGTTTGAGAAATTGTTGAGCCTTACTCTTGGAGAATTCTTTGGTTCATTTTTTATTTGTTCTTGAAATGGATTGATTATTGATTTATCGTTTTTGAAACAGTGAGAAAAGCAAGAGAAGAACAAGAATGTTAGCAGGCACTTGTGACCCCATGTGGAAGCAGAGATTTGTGTATTCTCCATTGCGAAGAACCGAAATTAATCTGCGGACTTTGGAAGTGAGCGTGTGGGACTTTGACCAATTCGGGCCCAATGAATTCCTTGGCCAGGTTCGTGTATATTCATTTGATCTTTCATGGAAAGCAATTGATTTTTTTTTTGTTGAGAATATCCTGTAAAAAAAAATCAATGGTCCTTCTTTTGATCATCATTTTTGGGACTGTAAAAGTCATCAAGAATCATTGAAAAGTTTAAATTTTCTTTTGGAAATCCACAGAGTTGTTCAGGATTTTGAACCAGAGATTTTTCAATTCCATGGAGATCTTAAAGGAAAATTATATTTTGAATTGAATCCTCCCACTCTTCAAACTTGAATAATACAGTATATTTTCTTTTCTTAAATTAAATTTTGTGGATTAAAACTTATTTTATTATAGACACTGATTCAACTTGACTTGGGGTATGCATGTCTGTCTATAAGGAGTATCCATAGATTTAGCAAAGTTTGCAACTGAAATTTAACACACTTTCAAATGTCCAGCATTTAGCTACAATTTTTCGCATTTGTCAAACATCAATGACAATGCAAATTTTCAGAATTTTTGGATGATCAGACAATTTTAAAATTGACAAAACACAAATTAATATGAAACACACTATAAGCCCCTTTAAAATAACTGTTCCAATTGATTCCTATTTTGAGGTTTTATTAATCAAGCATTGCTTTAAACATATTGGGAGATTTTCAAATTTTTGGAATGTAAAATAAAGTTTATATTTGAAAAGAAAGAAATTTTGAATTTGTTTTAAATGAGAAAAAATCAATGTATAATAGTGATATCTACTCATGCAATTGATTTGGAATTCTTTCCACTGGTGGAACTATAATGTATTTATCAAAATCCTGGGATTTTTTGTTTAAAAATTTAAATCCACATT